ACGATAATGATATTATAGTTATTTACAGTCCCATGTGGCGTTTTAATGCAGTAACCACAATAAACGATGTGTTTTGCGAAAATAAAAAACTTATTACATGACAGAGACTTCACGGAGGACATTGTGTCTCTATAAACTCCGTCACGTCGACCGTTTCTTCGCTTGTCAGTCTATGAAGAATCGAAACAAACCAATTTTCCACAGTAAAATAGAAGTTGTAAATGCACGCAGAAAGTTCAGACAGTAATCACATGAGTAACGTTGCGGGATTCCCCACTTGTAAACTTACCCTTTTACATAACAACATAACAGATTTGCGAAAACTATAACTGACTTCGGTTATAAACCAGACTGTGGTAACGTCGGTAAAAACAATTTTTACAATCACAAAAGAGGTTTAACAGTGACCACAGATGGCAGTGACCACAATGAGAAGAAGGACCATGTGCATTGGGCACTGCAAGGATTGTTTATTCGAAACATATTACATTATGGTTTATTATTTTTATGAAATTCGAGATGAACAACAGCCTAAAGTAGTTCAATTCTCCAATCAATAGACGAGGAAATGTCCAAAATCTACACAAATCGGTTCCTTTATACTTAATTGAGTCGTCTAAACATAGTGGTCTAAGGTGGCAAAAGACATCTTACTGAGTAGAGCTGTCGGCAAAGAGTTTGAATGGATATGGGTGGAAATTCACTTCGGGTCTTCTTAGTGTGTTGGTGTGTATGTGGTTGATCAAAACGGAAAAATAAGTATTATACACATTAGTCACGAGGAAATCACTTAAATAAAACGTTTTTTTTTTAAGTTTTAATCCAAAGTTCAGTCGGGCTGAACTGCAGTATTTTTCACTTAGGAGGTCATCATGGAATAAATAATAAAACCACTGGTAGGTACGACGATGAGACGCAAGTTTGACGTTAGTTGGTTTGTTGTATACTAAATAAGCTGGAGGGGTGTTATTGGTTTTAGCCTGTGTCCCACGCAAGGCTGTTAGATTTTTCAGTCGTAGGATTTAATATTGGGGAGTAGGAGGATAAAGGAACTGGAGACTCACTTTGCAGTGCCCCATTCCGCTATTCACCCTACCTCAAGTTTCCTCGAATCCTCTTCTCTGACGCCACGATGAAATGCTCTTAGGCTTACGTGAAAGTGATAGCTGCAAATACTACGCGGCGCCTCAGTAACACACGCAGACGGACGACTCTCTCTACCTTTGATGTCACAAGATATCGTTGCCTGATGGTACCTACAAATTATTCTTGCTCCCTGATGACGTTTGAGGTAGATCCGAGACGTGTACGAGTACTCACGACAACCAAAATATGAAATACTTGCACCGGTTGTCTCTTTGTATAAAAACGCTACTGGTTGCAACATTAACTTTATTTTTTCCTTTCACTTTTAAATGGCGAGCAAGTGGGAGAGGGGAGGCCAGGTTAATTATGTTTCTAGACGAACACTTTCCCCGTAATAATTCTGCGGGGAAAAACTTGTGGTCGACAACGACCTATCACGGGTTATGGTCCGATTTTTGGGCTCCCCTGGTGCGTGGCTGCCTCGGAAAGTCGGCTGACAGTCGGGTCGGGGGCAGACTGTTTAAGTTGCACCCGACCCGCCGCTCTAAGGGGCCGACTAAAAAGAACTCCGGGCCAGGCACTAAACTAACTAAACAATCACTCTTTTTGTTAGGAAAGATTAATTAAACAAAGTATTCACTTGCGGTCCTTCTAGTCTGAGGTTATCAAAACGGAAAAATAAGTATTATCATACAATAGCGAGATGGAAAAAGTTGGTGCATGTACATTAGGACTGCTTGTTGACGAAAAACTCAATTGGAAGCACCATATAAATTATGTACAGACTAAACTGTCAAAAACAATAGGTATTTTGTATCATACTAAGAAAATTCTTGAAGAAAAGATACTCTTTATAACAGTCTATTTCTCCCTTACCTTTACTACTGCTCCGAAATATGAGGAAAAACGTAGCCTACTCAACAAATCTACAAAAAATAATAACATGCCAAAAAAAAGTATTACGAATATTCTGTGGTGTTGGTAAATATGAACACACAACTCCCTTATTTAAAAAAACTCAATCTATTAAAATGTGTTGAGATAGTACAGCTTAAAACAGTACTGATTATGCACAACATTTTCCATAAGAAAATGCCTAATAACATTCAAAAGCAGTTCCAAACCACAGCGTGAACATATGAATGTAAGAAAAGTCACAATGTTTTTATGCAATTATGCATATATTATTATTATTCATTTGCCAAGTACATGTGTACCTAAGTATATATGTATATATAGTATTTCCATTTCCAAAAAAAGATAGCGCTATTGACATGTGCAGAAAATGACCCTATATCTAGTTTTCGTATATATATATGCATTTATTGTTTTCCTGCCCTAACTTTTATTAAATTTTTTCTCCTGTTTTCTTTATTTCTTTGTACTCCTTCATTTCTATACGTTTTTGACGCAATAATGCTGTGTATTAGGATAATGGAGAGGGCTTCTTTCAACAAGCCCTCCCGCTTCAACGAATTTTTTTCATCTTTGTGTTTATGAATGTAACTTTTTTTGTTTTTCGGATGAAGAAAAAAAAAAATATATACTTTCAGCTTGGGGGCCCCCTAGTGGCCGCGGGGGCCCGCTTATAGGAAGAAACGGCCCTGATAATGAATGTGAGTATTAGGTCAACGTCATGTATTTTGGTGTCTGCAAAAGTAAATGAGAGTACTTTTTCTGTAGAATGACCCAGCTACACTTTTTGTTATATTCCATAGAATGCTCTTAACATCCCGATGGCAATGAATATCTGAAGTGCTTTGACAAAAAATCCATAAAAAAATGTCATCTGTGGAAGCTATAGTACTGTAAAAAGCACGACCAATCTTTTTATTATTAATGTCTACCCCTGACTTCAACTTATAAGATGTTCATATATGTTCTTGAATAAATAAATACAAAATAAAATAAAGGTTAATTCGTCAACTCTCGGAGACTCGGACACAGCTCGGCTATATCCGTCCGCGGTCACGTGATTTCCGTTGGGGTAAAAAAAACAAAACACGGGCTAGCAAAAGGGCTGTAATGAAACTGAACAGAAAAGCCCAACTACCGCCTAAATTAACATGTTTAGCACACAAATGAGTCGGTGAATCATCAACAACAACACGGGGAACTAATGTTTGCTAGTCAACCAGACTTTTTTACACCATGAATTTAAGAGGACTCTTTCAGGACTTCAATCCCAGGTAATTAGCACTTTAGCTAACTGTGGAGCTAACGTTAGCTAGCATTGCTTGTCTGAAAATATGGCGAAGATGTGTGTTTTATACGTGTTAAACTGTATAAACATATGTATGCTATATGAACAGATTGCTATGTTTGTTATAAAGTAAGTGTAAATACAGTAGCTAAAGCGAACAAACCAAATCGGGCTAAATAAGGCCAAGCTAACATTCTAGCTAAGCTAAAGCTGGGGTTTTCTAGGCAAAGCTATCTTCACTTCGTATTGAATTGCAGCATAATTGCATTATTTTAATTACTTGCATGTGTTTTTTGGCATCCATTCTTAGTTAATAGAGTAGCACATGCAGTTCTGGTATCACATTAAGCTTCACAGGCCCTCAAGAGCAACGGATCCACACTAACACAATACAAAAACACAGGGTAATACTTCACAATAAATAAAGTATTGATAAGGGGTTGCTCAGAAACTAGCCACAAGTTGTAATAATAATATAAAATACACGAAATATTAATCGTACCATTGTTGGATACCAATGCAGTCCAATGAAATATGTTTAAGAAATAGTTTCAGTGAATTAAGTCAGATTTTCTCAATATTTGGTAGACTTTAGGAAGGTCAGTGGTATGGCTAGCTTAGTGGGTTTGTGTTTGGAAACATTTGAGCCTACTAGGTTACCTTTTTTCCATCTAATTTTAATTTCCATAATGCAGAATACTTTCCTTTTTATGTTATTTGCATTCAGGCTATCAACAGTCTCCTTTATCCTAGCTTTCAAGTTGGTCTGTTATGTTATTCCATCCTTCTAATTTCAGCACGTTTTTCCTATTTAAGCTTCTCTACCTTCCTGAATTTATGTTCGATCCACCCAAACTTTCCACACACACTTTCCAGGTTGTATTGCATCCAGGAAAATCCTTCATTAACCTTACAAGAGTTTTCTTTCAATGCCTGTTAGCGGTGAAAACTCCAAACCTCTCAAGGGTACAAATAGGCTTTTACTTTATACATGTCCTTATCACAGTGTTTTCTTCTGCCCTGTGCTGCAGTAAGTTCCTGATCTACTCGTGTCTGCTGCTGTTCTCCGTGCTGCTCTCCCTGAGGCTGGATGGAGTCATCCAGTGGAGCTACTGGGCCGTGTTCACCCCCATCTGGCTGTGGAAGCTGCTGGTCATCATCGGGGCCTCTGTGGGCACCGGGGTCTGGGCACACAACCCCCAGTACAGGTAGGCACTCTCTCAGACATCATCATTGGGGGATTAGTTGTCAGCAGTGAGGTATTAATGAGGCAACTGTGGTTCAATCCCATTAAGGCTACACATGCTGCTAGAAAAACATCACAATAAATGATTTAGTTACTCAAGCAGAACAATCGCTATCTAGTTATTTTCCATGTCAACACCAGCAGTTAGGAAGGTAGTTGTTAAAGTTACCTAAATGCTAACAGAATCAGAATGTACACATAGGATGAATTTGCCTTGGTGTATATGGTGCATACATAAACAGTTGATGAAAACAAATTGTAAGGAAAAACACCCAAAAATAAAAACCTATTATAAATACACGGCATGTAGAAAGTTATTTACATGAAATATACATATACCAAATAAACAATGTACAGTATACTATTACAAAATACTCAGAATAATAAAATATGTGCAGAAAAAACAAGATTTTTCCACTAAATCCCGTTCTTAATGAATTCTTACTATTTCTATAAAAAATTTCTATTTGACTATATGTAAGATTTTGGTGACAATGAAAATATTTGCAGCTGTTAGAGTAGGCTCTGCTTGTATTAATATAATACCTATATATAGCAGGTGTCATGCTAGTGCTAGTAATGCTAATAGTCAGGAATATATACAGAACACACAGCTGGATGTATGATATGAATCTGTATGTACAGACAATATTGTGGATTCAGCCCAAAAAGTTGGCAACTTACTGGTGTTCATTTCTTGTTTTAGCAATCAAACGCATAAAACGTCCCCTAACTGTAATGCAACATATTGAAAAGACGGTATCTGTAAGTCTTGTGACGTTGATTATATGCTTATAATATCTTCTTTATATATTAAGCTTTATTGTATGGGAAGTGTCTGTTTGGTTCGCTTTCTAAATCATGAAAGTATGCAGCATTACATTTCATTAGTGTCAGTATGAACTGGTACTTTTAAGCTAAGGTACGTTTATACAAAGGCAATTCAAAGTGCATTACATCATCATTAACACTTAATAAGAAGGCAACCTAAAGGAACACAATAAATACACATAATGGAATAAAAGATTCATAAAAGAGATACAGAATAGTTTCAAAACAACATTGTCTCATTTAGTTATTATATGTGTAAACTAGTTATTTTAGGCCTTACAGTGGTGATTTTGACGCTTCTCACACCACCAAAAAGCCCCAAATGTCTTCCATATCTTTGTTTAATTTGACTCTTGTTATTTCTCCTCCCTCAGGGCTGAAGGGGAGACATGTGTGGAGTTCAAAGCCATGCTGATCGCGGTGGGTCTGCACGTCCTGCTGCTGATGTTCGAGGTGTTGGTGTGCGACCGCGTGGCCAGAGGAGACTACTTCTGGCTCCTCGTCTTCATGCCGCTCTTCTTCGTTTCGCCCGTCTCCGTGGCAGCCTGCGTTTGGGGCTTCAGACACGACCGCTCCCTCGAGGTGGGGGCTGCATTTCAAGATTCAAGGATTCAAGGCTTTTATTGTCATTTGTACATAGCTACAGTGTAGGTGTGCAGGGCCGGCCCGTAGCACTGGCGTTATAGATGCTCGCCTAGGGCGCCAGATCTGGTAGAAAAACATTTTTGACCGTTGGCGCTCATCCTAATTTTCGGCCTTGATGTAACAATATTCATAATTAAGTAAATGTAACACCCTTTTCACCCCGGTTACACGTTTCATTTGCCCTGTACGATGGGCGCTGTAAGTGATGAAAGTGGGGGATGTTGGCTTATCTGGCGCCCGCAGCTCACAGCCAAAGTGAGCGAGCGAGGGAGAGAGGGAGGGTGCACCGGTACCAGCGCTGTTGTTATTAGCATCTGGTGCTAGCTGCGCTAACGGATATAAGAAGATGTTTCTACAATGATGTGGAGGGAGAGTCCTCTCCAGTCAGACTGAGAGGCTGATAATTACAGCTCAGTGAGGTAAAGGACTCTGAGTGTTTAGATAGTTCACTTTAGTCTAAGTTATCTCAGTGGGTCTCAAACGTTTTGATCACAATTTATGTAAACACACATTTCCAAGGCACTCCTTTGTAATTATTGGGATAAACAGGTTTGAAATTATTTCAATGACAGTAAACCAAAAATATTGTTTTAAACTGGAGAGATTAAAAAATATGCACGAATAAATAAATGTTAACTGGTCAAATAAGATATAAATGAACAACAAAAGTTATAAAAAAGTTACATGTATTTGTTATTGNCCTTTTAAACTACAAGAAGATAAGGAGGACTTTTACAAAAAAGTAATAGAGATTTTTGTCCCGAAGGATAGGCAAATGGACTTAATCTTCAAGTCAAGGTAAGAACCTTGACTTGAAGATTAAGTCCATTTGCCTATCCTTCGGGACAAAAATCTCTATTACTTTTTTGTAAAAGTCCTCCTTATCTTCTTGTAGTTTAAAAGGTCTATCATAAATCTCGACAACACACAAACGACAACGATCACTCATTGGCCCCCTCCTGTGTTCGCAGTGGCGTTTTTAAGACAGCCCAACGATGAGTGACATCTGAGGAAGATGAAAAACGTAAATTAAACATTGTTGAGAAAATGCTGCATCTCTTGGAGCCTTATTTTTTACCTTTTTTAAATCATTTTTTGTCATTTTCAATTGCTTGGTTTTCGTGAAATTAGCCTGTTTTCCTATTAAAGTGTAACAGATTGATGCATCTCCACAGATCATCTTAAAGGCTTCGCAATCCCCCCCATTGTAGTTTTAAAAAACTGTCAAAACTAGGGCCCCCAAACAGCAACTTGCATAGGGCCCCCAAAAAGCTAGAAACGGCCCTGCATACTATACAGAGAAGCTGTATGAGAAACCAATGTGAGTTTGGAAAATGGCACAATGTAAATCTATTCTAGTAGACCTCAACAATGGAATTATGATCAGTAGAAATGGCCATGTCATGGGACATTTAAATCCATGATTCAGTTATTTTTCCGAAAAATGAAATCCTCGCTGATACCTTTGATTAAAAGCACCCAACCCATGCTCGTTTTGCAAAAGATGTATGTTCTGTAAGAAGTCAAGTCGTGTCCAACAATATGTCAGTTAGTCAGTACGTAATAGTCCACAAAACTAAAACGAGCTGAAATTTGTTTTAATTTGAAGGCCTCTATGGCACACATCCGGTATGATTTCTCTGTGATTTAACCGTTTGTTTGATTTGTTGAAGTGCTGCTTCCGCGCAGATCACATGACAGTCTGCACGCGGAAGCGGTAGCAGCATGGAGCCCACAGCGAGCAAAGAGCCGGGTCCCGTCAGAGAGCGCCGTGCCTGCCTTACAGAGGCCTACACGTGTTTGCGGAGGGGATCATGTCCCAGCCAAAGGGCTCACGATGTGGCCTCTGCGATATTTGTCGGGGTGTGTGGAGGGGTCTCCAGCGGGGACAGAGAGAGTTGTCCTCCAGAGAACCACAGTGACCCCACCGTGGAGCTGAGTTGCATCAGTATGTCTCTGCTGGAGAAGATCAGCTCCGCGCTGATGTCTGGGAGCCTGCCACCAGCAGCCACCTTATATTACGCCGAGGTCTTGACGGGGTTACAAGACATGGATCTCATGTTACAACTTGTAAGTGGGCTTCCTAAAACACACATACATTTTAAAGATCGAATCCAATGAACATGGGCGGCGACAGGATTTTTTCACTGCAGTAGCTTCGTAGTTGCTAATATGACAGCATGGCGTTGCTAGTAAATGTTCTGTGCTCATGTGATAACTGATATAACTGCTAACTTGAATACACTACAATATTATCATATTCAACACAACAGAAATAGCCAAATGTCCCGTAGCCTCTCTTAACACCCTCGGACTCTGCGTTGTGTTTCGTATGTGTGACTGGGTTTTATACAGAGGGGAAGAAAACGGGACACAGCAGATTGGGATTGTGGGAGACGCTGAGCGGTGATTTATTTGTTCCATGTAAACATTAGACATTAGCAACATGCTGCTAACCAATAAAAACCACCAAATTAACAGACAAAACACAAACATCTCACTCCCAAACTGGTAAATAAACATTTAAACTAACCCAGTTGTTACAGAAATTGAATGTTTGGACGTTTTTTACGTCATAATATGTAAAATGATTTGCCACAATTAAATACTGCTCACCCAGCATGAGTGAATGTAAACATTAGAACCAAGATGGCGGCGCGAGGAGAACAGCGGGGGAACAGTGTCCCACAATGGCCAAAAAACAACAATTTGCTGCGCAACGGCAACACCTAGTGGCCTGTCAAGGCTGCTACCATACATACACAATGGCGATCGTTAACTATTTCAACTGGCATGCTGTGGCATTTAACCTCCACACACCGCAAACACACACACACACACACACACACACACACACACACACACACACACACACACACACACACACACACACACACACACCCACCCACCCACAGACAGTTATTGTACTTTTTACTCCTACATGGTATGGTTACTATTTTCTATTACTAATATGTCATGTATTTTAAGTAATTGAAAGTGGTTCTACATTGATAAACTACAATATTAATGAACCCTAAAATGTATTGGTAATGAAAAACGAACATTATACATTCTTAAATAATGTAATACTGGATGGCTGTTATGCATGAAATACATTTTACTTAATTTAGCTATAATACTAATAATAATAATCCAGATAATACTTCTCTGCTTTCTACTTGAATTTATTTAAGGGATTGATTGCTGCCCACATGTTTTCCACAGTGATATCCTAAAAGACTTCTATTCTACAGATCCTTCATTTCCAATCCAATGACCAGATCATCTCACACCTAGCTGCAAAGAGCGTGTCAACATGTGTCTTCTATCAGCTCCACACATCTGTAAGTTCTCAGGGTTGTAGTACACATTTTCGTTAATTTGCCCTTTATGCAATCTTGCCCCTTTCACACCAACACGGTTACCGTTCTAGCTCCGAGCTTTTCTTGTTCGGAACCGTTTTTTCTTTTCAGCCCCCGTTTTGTTCACACCGCCCAGAGCCCGACTGGTTCACCTGTACATTTAATGAAACTTTGTAAAAGCATATAGAATATGAAACTCTAATACAATGGAAAAACTGTTTGGTTACGCTGGCAGTTAATAGGAGTTCACTGTCCCCGCAATCCCGAGCCTTTACAAATATACTTTATTTGGAAAATGATTAGAAAGAATTTGCTCTGTACATGTCAGAACATTTAAATCAGCTTATTTGGTGGTGATTGTCATAGACAAATAATTTAAGTAAACAACAAATTGTCACTAAACACATGCAAAGAGTTGGCTTACAAATGTAGTCATTGCATTGGAGGTAAAAATGTCACGAGAAGTTATAGGTATAACTGTTAATAAAACCTGGAAATTAGCTGGTCAGCACTTTATTTGACCAATACTAGTTTCATAAAGTATCTAATATACTGTGCTTTATTCCCACATTATATGTTTATTATATATATATATTTTTTAGAGCACAGTCTGTCCTGTCTGGCAGCAGAAGTGTGTTCAGGCTTTTTACAGCTCGACCCCCAGCCCTGCTCTGGACAACTGTCTGTGGTCAATAACTGATGTCTTCAAAAGACTTCTTCAAGGAGGTCATCAAGGTAAGCAAGTGAGCTAGAATATAGAATAGAAAGCATTTGTTGTCATTGTACACAATATACAACAAGCTTTGTCCATTCACACATTTATCTTAAGCCCCAGTGACAGCTGAACTAGGCTGATGTGTGAACGGCAGACTCCAGTGTTTCACACAAAATGTCATGAGGTTAAGGAAAGGTGTGAAGGAGAATACATCAGGACTTTAGAGAATCTGACTAGACTGGGCTTATTACTGATGAGACGACTGATTGATGTTTACTGCCGTTGAAATCAACAATTTCCATACTTGGACTTCTAAAAGGGCATCTTGTTACTTTGCCTCGAGTTTTCTTATCGTGTTGTTTCATTTGGGCTTTATAAAAGGAGACAGCAGTGAAACAGATGTTACTTTATTTGCAAGGTTTGAATTAAAGTGCACCTATCATGCTATTTTTAGGCAATAGCATAGGTCTCAGATATATAAAAATATATAAAAAACATGTCTATGAAGTGTTTTGCTCATAATACCAAACAGATCACCCATTCTAGCCATGCCTCATATGTCATATCCCTCTATTTCACTTCCTGTTTCTAAAGTGCTGATTTGGGGTTAAAGCTTTTTTTTTTTTTAAAAAGAAGAAATTGATTAAATGAAAAACAAGGGGGCTGAGCTCATGTGGGACCCAGCAGCTACTGTCTAAACTAAACACTGCCGTGATGAAACGCCATATCATGGATTATCAAGGATTATCTCTGAAACAGTATGGAGCTCGAAGGCTTTCTCTCTTGCCGGTTATACCACAAGGTGAGTTCCTTTTTATTTCCTGCTTCTTCACACACATGCTCTCCAGTACAGGTTAGCTCTGAGTGTTAGCGATGCTAATGTAAACATGCACCGACCA